ATGGATTTACTTTACTTCACTCAGAAACTGCTCTTCATCAATGCAAAGACAAGGTGGAGAATGAGACATATGAAGAATATGGAGTTTTGGGAGAATTCTATGGTGCATATAAAAGGTGCAACTCAATGTCAGGAAGGTTTTCCCTTTGTAACAATGTGAAGACCTGAATTGGAGTACCTTGACTTTTAGGTGTCTCTATTCAGCTTATACATTTAAAGGAAAGAGACTACAGGGATTCAAATTAATGGTAGAAACACTTAGGTGGTAGTTATTTGGCATATATCTGTTCATTTCCTGCAAAAATGGAAAGATGTGTATATATATCCTCATGATACTCAAGGTGACCTCCAGCAAGAGTATATCTGTGTTTACTGTTGTGTAATTAAACACATGTTGTTCTCAAACTTCAGCAGATAATTTTGAAACTCTGGATGAGGAGCAAAATTGCACCAACTTAGGCCTTCAGACCTCGTCCATCACCCACAGACCCCAGAGACCTCCACTTCACAACTTTTTCCCCTCTGCCAAGTCAGAGGTCCTGCGACGGAAGCAACAGAAGAGAACCCAAAGCTTTAAAATGGAGGAGCTCCCGGGACCACTCATCACAGACCAACAAAACTTCTCTCTGGAGACCAAACAGGAGCCCGATTATGTAAGTACCACAACCAATTTTGAATGTCTTCGTAGCATACTAGAGGAATGTTTTTCTCCTCTTCCTCTGTGTTTTGGTGTTTTTCCCCTCTTGTGGGTGATGAAATGTTTTTGGTAGCGGTGCTGGGGGTTGGCAGGCATCGTGCGCAGTAGAATGGCATGGCAGCGAGCGGGTACGATGGCCCTGCGGCTGACCTGGGTCAGGCGGTTGTTTGGCCACAAGGCGTCCGCGTGCCGGGTGTACTGGGAGCCAGCAAATGATGGATTGGCCTATGTGAGTGCCTGTTGGGAAGCCCTGCTGCTATTTTGATCTTGTCTTTGGCCAGAGAAGTGAGCACACACTAGTAATGGGCTTTGACTGGCTGCTTTGATTAGTGACTGGAGTACTTGGACTTTAGGACAAGCCTTTTGGCTCCCACTTTGAGCCCTTTGAATTCACTTTATCCACCATCTTTTGTGTAAAGTGTAAGAGTTATAAGCAGCTTTGGTAAAATGTTAAGCCGCTGGAAGTCGGTCAGATGAATTAATTTCTCTTCCGGCACCTCTTTCATATTGCAGCCACTATTGTTCAGGTATTACGGCAGATCAGTGCGTGGTGCAGCTCTCTAAACGTCTTTATTTGAAGAAGAAAATCGAAGAAAACTGTTTGTCTATATATTTTGGAGCTGGAGATATTTAAGTATTGGTAGAGTAACTGCATATGTGTTCCCTCATCTGCAGGGTCCCTGTCGGAGAGAGATTGAGAGCATTCTCAGCAGCCTCAAGATCACAGACATTCTCAACCCCAGAGGTTTCCGCATACCAAACTGTGACAAGAAGGGCTTCTATAAGAAAAAGCAGGTATAAAGCACATTCAAAACACCATCATTTGATATTCACTCTATGCTTATAAATCCCTGCATCCATTTCATGAGAGCCTACACATATACTTCATAAAACCTTTCAATTTGTTTACAAATGTTGTACAAGGCTGTAAAAAGGAAGCCCACATTTCCCTTTTTACATTCTGCATTAATAAAGGTTCATGCTGAAGTCTAGTGACTCAAACTTTAGGTCTCCTGCAGCCCAATTACAGATTTGTAGCTGTCCTCCTGTATTCATTGGTAGTCATTAGAGCCTCATCATTGCACCACCACACCAGTGAGGTAGACCCCAGCCACTGGCTCTGGAGACAGGAACCACAGGGGCCAAACCCCAGTGGGGTTGACGGCTGGGACGATGGCCGTTTAACGGGAACCCTCCCAGGGAGACAGACGTCAAGGTGGCCACCGGCACACGATGCGCTCCCCCCATAATTGCTGGACTTTTGAGAAGCCTGCACAGAAATAGAGCTGCAGCCATCCCCACGCTCACATGGTTCACCCACGATCGGGTTGTAATAAATGAGTGGTTCTGACGCATTCATATGGAGGCACTTAGGGCTCCCGCGCCACTGCATCACAACGCAGCTTTTCTAACATAGCATTCCCTTCTGCTTAATGGAAGTGTTCTCCTTTACCTGCAATCAACTCATAATCACAACGCCAAGCTCATTGTCTTTGTTTATATAGAATGAACCTACTGTACCACTGCTCATTTGCATGTTTTAAAGCAAAAGCAACTCTTACTACAGCTCTTAAAAACAGTTAATGTCTTTTTAGATACATATACAGAGGACAGATGTAATGCTGGAAGCAGATTAACTTTTTTCTGTTAACTATAAAAATAACAACAGTTTTTCCTTTAATAAAATCGTAAGACTCTTGTCTTTCAGCTAATATTTGATATAATAATGATTTTTTCATCCTCCAAACAGCCGATAAAAGATGTTCTCCTCCGTTGACCCCCTCCCACTTGTTATGCAACAATGATCTAAAACAAGAGAGTCCTTTTGCTAACTAAACACGGATGTCTTCCTTCCTGATCAGTTCTGCCTCCTCTGTGGAGCAGCAGCACTGTTGCTTTAGCCCCTGAAATGAATGGCTGCAAGTTTTACCAGAGTGGAGGTTGACCTTTTGTAAAATTGGCAGTAAAATAACAGCCCTTGGGTAGCTCCACAGACTCTGTAAGTCATTTGTAGTACCCATAATTTGGAGCTGTGGGGTATAATCAGCAACAGATGATTCGTACTGGCCACCAGCTTCTGAAAATAGATCTTGGTTCTCAGTTGTTCACAAACGGGACTAAGCAAATATTTTACCAGGTTCTGTTTACCTTAAAGGTCTCTATATGTGTGTGTAACAGGAGGTAGACCATAAAAGCAGCTCAAAATACCACAGCGTGTCGGATAACCAAGGCTGCGTCGACTCAGCACAATCTGACCATTAATGCCTCTTAACTATTACTGTTCTCCTTCATTGAGTAAAGTGGCTTGTTACTCATAATGCTTCATATTCAACTGTATTTACACATATAGCTGCCGCCCCCCCGACTTATTTCTCTTCCCTCCCTTCACCTTGTCCCTTCCTTTACTTTCAGTGCCGTCCATCCAAAGGCAGAAAGCGAGGCTTCTGTTGGTGTGTGGACAAATACGGGCAGCCTTTGCCAGGTTTTGATGTGAAGGAGCGAGGAGACTCCCAGTACTACAACTCCGAGAGCCAATAGGAGCAAAGCAGGATGGAGGGAGGTTGGGTGGGAGTGAGAGCAAGAGGAATTGTAAACAAATGGAGACACTGAGGATATTGGGAGAGAGGTCAAGAGATGGCTCGGCCGATAAATGGATGTTTGCTATTTCTATCTGTTGCCTTTGGGACCTTTTTCTGAGGCAGAGCAAGGGGAACAGAGGAAGAGTATTAGGAGGGGGAAGAAAGCCCCTGTGTCACAGATACTGTGTTTTCTGCGATGGATGGATTCTACATAAGCTTTCCGTCTCAAACACAGCCAGAATGACTTCTAATGAGAGGATACGCCTCTCAGACGCCCTATTCTGACTATAAAGAAAGAGACATTTGTCACGAACGTGGACGAGATGGCTCTTCATTCACGCACAATTAAGTGGCATTGCACGCATGTACATGCTTGTGATTTGTTTGAAAGACATTGTGTGTGTGTATGTATATGTTATTCAGAGTAAGCATGCAGTGCCTTACTATGACTTCCTTTTTTTCCAGGTTGCTTCCTGCTCCTCAGGGAGTTGGACTAGACTGTGCAGCTCAGACATTTGATCTGATCTGCGGTTATTACTGTTATTTTGTCACTTTGCATAAGCTGATATTTTGGGATAAAGGCCACAAATTGTTATCTCTGATCTCTGTGTAGCCAGTGATTATTTTCATCACTTGCTCATTCACTATTAATATGCTGTTTGCATGTACAATGCAACCCTCAGAGGTCTATTTTTACTTAATAAAGGCAGTATAAAATGATCCACGTATTGTATTTTTTACTGTTCAATTTGCCTTTTCTTGCTTTAAGTGTGTATCGAACTTTTATGGCAGTTTAAAATCACAGTAAAACATGACTTCATCGTGATTAAATAACATTTAATTAGGTGCACATCCAAATAATTATAATAGTATATACATTGTTTCTACAAAACCAATAATGGAATAGCAGCATTTCTGGCAAATAGCATTCACAAACAATGTGGTTCAGTGCACATGCGCTCTGAACACTGAAGTGAATCATAATAAATACTTCAACAGATGATGGAAAGAAATAAAAACCAGGTGAGGATGGTGTAGCTGAGAAAAATCCCTTAGAAATCTTCTGCTAAACCTGTGGACCTGCAGAGACTAGTAGAGGTAGAGAAATGCAGAAGAACCCATCCCAACCTCATGGTGGCTTGGATGAGCCCTGATATGTTTGTGCTTGGCCTCCATGCACATACTTGTGGCACTTTAAGTATTTCCCCCAATACCCATTGAGGAAAAGCCAATGGAGATACATTCAGACAATGTCAACACGTTGAATGAATGAGCGGCTGTGTTGTTTCTTGCCGCGCACAGCTCCAGTTTTGAATGAATTATAAAAGAAGAAACTGATCCTGAAGACGCTGAAATGGGCTTGGCAGGGCTGTTGACCTGTGGTTTTGAGCAATGGAGTTATTTAGTTAGAAACACAAATGTATACAGTGTTGCCCTATTTACAATCGCAAAAAAAAAAAATGGGCAAACATATAAAAAATCTAAAAATGACAAAATGGTTAATGCTGTTAAGAATAAATAAGTCTTGATACATAGATCATTTAAATAAAATGAGAGGAAATTTCCCCCTCTGAAATAGCTTTTTCTTACATTTAGTGTGAATGAGTGTGTTTTATGAAAGGAAGTCACTTCATCAGTAAATTGACACTTTCACTTGATGAAACATGTTTCCTGGTGTCTATTTGTGTTCGCAAGTGATTTTATGGATGATAACAGAGTCTATCATTTAGTGGGTGACTTCTTGGTGACACTCTGATGAGTCAGCCAGCAGGTCGCTGGTTCCTGGGAGCTTCTTCCCATTCCAGGAAGAGACACACCAGCAGCGAGCGGGCGGTCCGACCAGGGATGACTCACACTGGGAGAGAAACAGAGATGGGTAACCGCATGAATAAATCGTCCAGTTAGATGAGTCTATTCTAACAGGTGGAATGAATTTTGTATCTTGTGTAATCCTTAAGTTCTCACCTGCTTGGACTTGTAGAAGCCATGCTTATCACAGTTGGGTAGGTAGAAAGTTGTGAACCTCTCTCCTAGTTTCTGCTGAGAGCTGGAAATCATGTCCAGGGCTGCATGCAGTTCAATATGACAGGGACCCTGTGCACAAGAAACAAGAACAACTGTGACAACCATGTATAAACAGAAACACTATAGTATATTGACTGCAGTAAATAGTATTCATTATTACTCTCTTAAAAATCCACAGCTCTTAAAAAAACAAGTCCTCCCTCTGGTGGTAGGAAAGTAAATCACATGACATCATCTTCATCAGTCAGGTAAACATGTTTGCTCACTTGTTGATCCAGTTGGTTACGGATGGCATTGACCCTGGCCTTGATGCTCTCTTGGCCCTCAGCAGTGTCCTGGTCCAAGGGAAGGTTAAGACCCAGCAGGTAGTGCAAGGAGCCTTGGTCAGGGACATCATCTTCCCCTGTAGCAGTTAAGAAAACCATATAATTTATCAGAAATGTTTTGTGTTTCTTTGAGGTTACATTTAGCCATTTTCAGATTCAGAAATAGCAAATTAGCAAAAAGAGAAATTCATGAAACCATTAGTCTACCTTGGTCCTCAGTGCAGACCCCCTGTCCTCTGGTCAGAGCGTGGAGCGGCATGGCCTCATCGGGCCTCGGGGAGCAGCGGAGACCCTCTCCACAGTGGGCCGTGTGGACCCCGCAGGACGCCCCTTTCTCCAGAGCGCAGGCCATGCAGCAGCCACATCCCGGCTCCCTTAGCACCTGCCTGCAGTCCACAGGGATGGCAGGACAGTCATTGAGTCTCTCCTGTGAGCAGGGGGCACAGCGGATGGGCTCCGGTCCAACCACGGGGGACGACCTCACCACGGCCAAGACAGCCAGAGCCACCGCTGCCACCAAAATCAGCTTCTCATATAATCCAGGCATCTCCAGTCTTCAGACAAATATACTCTTCGGTTTGGTCTTACCTTTAGACCTGCTCAGTCTGACTGTATTTTTTTTTCTAAACTGATTTCCCCGAACTAGCAGTAGGTCTATTTATGTGGACCTCTGGCCTCCGGAGGCGTTAATGATTGACAGATATAAAAGGCTTTTTTACAAAGCTGCTTCAAGCGGTGGATGACCCTGCCTGACGTGCGTGGCTCCAGGTTCACAAGGTTGTCAATATTGACTTTGGAACACAAAGTGATTGTACATCAAAACAACCCTGTTTTTGACAGGAAAATACTGATCTTTGTGTTATGCCTTTTAAGTAATGAAAACAGTTTAAGTAATATATGTGTTAAGTACTTATGGCTAACATCCACAACTGGGAAGATTAGATAATCCAAAATCTTAAAGTATATGATATGACTGGTGATTATAATGGTTTGATGTTGTTGACAAACTGTTATGTTGTGAAGTAAGGCTGACGTATTGTGCTTTGACACCGTTTTCAAACTTAAACCCTATTTGTCACTTGATGTAACTCTTATCAGGCAGACAGATAAACAAGATCATTCCCCTTAAAGCGTTGCATAACCCTAACATTATGGATTGCTCTGCTGGATGCACAACATGTTTGTCTGAAGAAAGATGGTAGTAACCGGTTGTTTCCTAGGTGTAGTATTTGTCATAGTTTATGTGGCAAATGGATCACTCATACTGTGTACTCGACCCAGAGATTTTCATTTTCTAATTTGTTATTTTTGAACAGAACTGATGTACTTCCCACTTACTCAAAATGTATTGTTTGGTACTAGATTCTGCATGGACTGTAACAAGGCTTCAACCAGGAAAGACCTATATAGTAATACATATTATGTATGATTATTATTCAGTATTATTAATATTGCTCCGATAATTCAAAATATGGGAAAAACAAAATTGTGAACATGTTACTTACTTAACCAAACTTGATTGTCATAGAATTGACATATTGAACCACAGAATCAATATAAGGCTAATATTTTGCCTTTTTAGTTTGAACACAGTATACACAGGGTTTAGGATTATTTTATTTTGAACAACTAATACATTTAAGCACTGCTTACCAGATGAGTAAACATACAGTAATATTTTAAACTACTCCCGGGGCATTTCTCTAATTATCTTCACTTTTGATCAAATAAAACACTAGTCCTTGCACTGGAGTACACATTTTAATGCAGGAGGTTTATTTGTCAGTGTTTTTACATTTTGTTTTGTTTTTTAAAAACACAATTTTTTGTATATTTTACTTAAATTGGGTGTGCATGAGGAGTGACAGCCTTTCTCAAATATGATGTGTGCAGATATAAAAATGACTCGGGTCTTTAGTTTGCTGTTTCTATATTATTAAACATCATTTTAATAAAGTAAATATAACTAGAGACACACTTGCCAAAGAGGTAATCAAAAAAAAGAGAGCCATAAAACTCTACAAGAACAAAATATGATGATTTTGACTAAAAAAAAAGAACACATGTTTCTCATCATCATGCAGAAACATGATGTACAACGCTTGTTAGTATGCCAAATTATTTTACCTTTCGAACACATTTTTTGATAATAACAAAAATGAAAGTGTGACTGTGAGCGTTACTCGACCACCAGCTGGTGGGTGGTTGCCTCTTGAATGTTGATCATCAGGTCCACCAGCCACTTCGGAAACCCCTGCTTCTTTGGTAATAACAACATACATTCATCAGTTTTCTTTTTCATAATTAAAAGAAAAACTGTTTCAAATGTACACTCACAGCCTTAGACACCTTCTTGACTCTCTTCCTGGCTCTCTTCTTTTGCACTGACAGTTTAGGTGGTGTGTGTTTTGGCCATTTAACCTTGGATACCTAAAACAATAGAGCATAATCTCTTACACATTTGAGTTGTCTGATAATTCATTTGAAAGTAAAATGTGCCATAATAACTCACCTCTGTTCTCAACAACTTGCTAATGGAACACTTCACTTCATTTACGAATCTTTTTGGCTGTTGTGTTGTAGCTTCACCACATAAATCCAGGGCTTGTGTGCTCCGATCTGAATCAGAGGAATTCTCCATTTCCTCCTGATCCTTGTTGGTAGATTGGTTTTGGAGACAACTTGCTTGGCGGAGGGAACCAGACAGTCGCCTAGGTCTCTGAACCCTCAGTTCACCATCATCTTCTTCGCTCTCTTCATCTACCATCACCTCTTTTGTGTCCACTTGAAATTGAAAATCCTCCTCTTCTTCTCCACTTTTGCTTCCTTCGGTTTCATCTTCCTGCCATGAATCTTCCTCTATGGTCTCCAAACGTGGCCTCTGTTCCCCCATTTATAGTTTTTTTTTTAAAACACAGCAGAATTACCAGAACACCTTTCCATAAATTAATTTAAAAAAGTGGCTTTGAACTCACATTTTGTTCCATGTGGCTGGAGGACTGAGCGTTCCTGTCATGTGAGGATCCTGATCGTGGGTTGTAATTAGTTGATAATTCAAATCAGGTGAGAGAGCTTGATTGCAGACAGGTGACAGGTGGAAATGCTTATCCTTTGTGACAAATAAAGCAATGTAACCTGTCACACTTTTTTTAAAGGGACACACACATTTCAGTGTATAGGCCTACCTACCCCATAAGGAGGTGACTCTAATGATAAGCACATGGCATTTGAGTAAAATGTAATAAAAGTTGAATATTAGCTGAATTGTTGCTTGTTTAAAAGAAAAACATAATTTAAGTTTCACCTAATGGGTGAATAGTTAAAGGTAGGGTATGTAAGTTTGAGAAACCGGCTCGAGATCGCTAGAATTTGAAAATACACGACCGGAGAAAATCTGCCTTCCTTACAGAGCCCCTCCTCCAACACACACAAACGTGCACATGACCAATGAGGGCACGAGATAAGTTTGTGCACAGATGGAAGGCTGACAGGCAGATAGGCCATCCAGTTATTTTAGCCGGGCCGGGCCGGCTAAAATAACTTTTTATAGTACTACGGCTTCCACAGATGACATTTTTTTATGGATTTTTTGTCATTGCTATCGGGATGTTAAGAGCATTCCATGGAATATAACAAAAAGTGTATCTCGAGCCGGTTTCTCGGTTTCTCAAACTTACATACCCTACCTTTAACGAATATTTGCTTGGGTTAAAAACTCAGTAGATCTTTTAAGAACATTTTTCTTGAGATCAACAGCAGCATATACCTAACATAAGTACATGAACCTAAATCACTGTCTTTATATATTGTTTCCTCCCAGAATACTTAATTGGTAATACAACATAAATTAAATAGATGTGGAAAAAAAATTATAAAACGAAAATAATATAGGCTACTGTTTTCGTGGTTATTGAAATTGTGTCATTAATGAATGCCTGAAACTGATTCACTCATCTTGACCCTTTTTTCCACTGATGACTCAAGGGGGAGTGTTATTTGTGTTATTTCATTCACCTTGAAATTCCCTTCATTGCTTCATGTCCACTTAGGCTTGAAGTCAGGGAACTTACCATGACAAGAAAAACAACAGCTGTACTTTAAAGTATTTTTCTGGTAAAGTAAGAACTCCCTATGGATACATCAATGTCACAATTCAAAGCAACTTTTAAAAAAACTGACCAGAATTTGTTCATTTAATTCCCAAGCAAAATGTACTGGATTGAAAATGATTGAGCAAGCCAGGCGTTTGTTGACTGAACTGTTACACTGAGTGAACCCAAGACAAATTCTACATCAACGCTGGGAAAACATTTTTGGCCCCCGCTCAGTTTGTTTGTGACATGTTGACATTCATCTGGCTTTGGGCAGTGGAAGCCCTCTGTTTGGCAAAAATAAACTGTAATTATCTGCCATATTTTGGAGTAAAAATTGTTATTTCGAGAGCCATAAACTAAGTTTTAAGAAATACAATGTTATAGACTATAAGTATCATGATTAACTTCCAATAAAAAGTTATATTTGTTACAAGCTAGTTTGCTGTGCTGCGTTTGAGGGACAAAATGTAAATATTGTGATTTAGATTTGAAATCCTGATATGGCTCATCCAAAAAATCAAATAAACAACTTTACTTAACCTTTAAACACCTACTTCTTTATATTAATACTCTTTTTATATTTTATACACCAATATTGTCTTTATTACAAAATATTCAATAACCCAACTTTACACTGTACAAGATACAACATAGTTTACAGCTTTTAGCTATTTACAAAAAGTATAATCTGCATATCAAAGTGAATATATCTAAAAAGGCAGGTTGCAATCACTGTAAGCTTATTGAGTAAGGCAAACAACTTGAAACAGGATGTATTCACACTCGCAGATCAAGTAAAAGTTGAACGCTGATAAAGATACAGGCTACAAAGCTATTTGAAGTGCATCGCGTTTTTGAGACCGGGAGTATCTGGGAGACGTGCTGCTAAAGCTGATATTTCTCAGAGTAAAACTCTAAATGTAGTTAAAAAATTACAAAAAGAGCCATAGAACGGTAATGTGTGCCTGATAGACGCTGGTAACCTGACCCCGCACCAAAGTTTCTGTGGTCTAGAGATACTGTGTCAATGTAGATGGAGCGTTTGGAGGCTAAAGCTAAAGGACTAAGTTGTGCACTTGATGCTGTGTGCTTATTGGATGTGCTTAAGCAATGTATGTGCTCTCTTCTGTGTGGATGAATGCCTTCCTGGATATCTACATAATATATGCACCATACATTAAGTCCTCTTTGTGATGTTTTTACAGTAACTTGTTTCCAAAGCACACATCCAACTCAGTGCAATATGTCTTGCCACATTAAGTTGAACTATCGGGAATCAGGGGAATTGAACATCAGTCGCCTTATCCATGGGGTTCAAAAAGACACTTCTTAAGTCTACTGATAACGCCTGTTAGAGTCACATATGCCAATTTGTTCAACCTGCTGCAACATTTCCTCCTCCCTCTTGTATGTTGATGCAATATGAGCAGTAAAACTAAAGATTGAAAGAAAG